AGGGCCTGGCGGAGTGATGCTGGGAGTTGTCTTAGCACGGCTCCTTCTCTCATTACTCGCTCTCATGGATATGCAAAGGAGATGTGAGGTCTATTGGGGGTGACTCGTAACTCCGGGGTTGATTTCTCACTCGCACTTTGTCTGACGTGCGAACCACGCAACCTTGTTTAGCAGTATCACGTTTTTAAAAGCCCTTACTTGGTCTTTTCTGTTCCTGTCGGATAAGAGAAGTTTCCTGCTCTAATACTGTTATATACCTGAATCTTCTTTAGTGAAGGACATGCGCGCCCCCTCTTAACGTCGATCTCGGAGGCGGAGTCAGAACCTCTAAGCGCTGTGAAGATTTCTTCAACAGAAATCTCATTCGAACACTAGTTGTGTCGGACTCAAGGGCTGAGCGTCAAAATAACAGGCAGATCGTGCAGTTTTCACAGTGAGTCACGGGAGGGGGCGGGGGGTGGGAGGGGGGACCCCGGGGGATGATCTGGGGACCCTGGGAGGGTGGCCACCAGGGCTGGGGCTAAGCCTTAGTGTGCATTCTGCCCCTGCCCACCTCGGACATGGAAGTGTTTGGGGGAGAAATGGACCCCAGACCGGGGTACCCTGATAAGTCTAAGGCAGGGCTTTCAACCCCAGCCCGACTAACATTTGGGGCCATCATTGTTTGTTGGGGGGCCCGTCCTGTGCATTGTAGGATGTTTAGCGGCACCCCCGGCCCCCGTCAGCTCCATGCCAGTAGCATCACCCCAGTTGTGACAACCAAACACGGGCCAAACATCCCTTGGGGGTAACTCCCCGCTCTGTTGAGAACCTCAGGTCTAGGGGCAAACCCCGCCCACCCCTTGCCCAATGAACTCTTAGGATGAGGAAAGGCTGCCCTGTGAATCCTCAGAATGTTCTTGTTGGCTTCACAGAGCAAAGGGGGAGCAGGCTCTTCCTCTCCCACCAGCAGCCATCCTGGGCCCCTGAGGACAATCGCACTTTTTGCCTTGGCTGCCGGGAAGCTCAGCGCTCCCTTCTGCCTGCCCGCCAGACTTCCCACGGTGCACGTGGCGTTGGGACCTCACCTGGCTTCCCCTTATCTCTCCAGATGCCATTTTCCCATTTGATAATTTCCTTCCCGCCCCTTCATTTTACGTCATCTCTCAGTAATGAGAGACGGTATCGTTCCCGCGTGTTGCGATTTGACACGAGTTACCTAACGTCTCTGCCCTTGAGCGTCCGCATCGGTAACACGGCGGCGATAACCACAGAGCCAACCTCACCTTCAGGGTCACGTGAGTGAATAAAGGCTTGGCACACAGTTCGCACTCAATAAACGGTATTCTTTTTATTATACGGTTCACGTGAGCCCGCTTAAATCCTTTGAAGAATACATGAACATCCCGTCGTCACCACCGTGGCCCTCCAGGGGGCCCGCTCTCCAGACCTGAGCCCACCCCAGCGAGGTCTCAGGCCTGGCCAGCCTCCCGCCCCCCCTAACGGGACAGGAGGCTCCAGCGTGCGCCGTGAGAGTCCCGCTCCTGGTCCGTCCGCTGCGCGTGGCCCACCCACCTTGGCTGTCCAGGCCGATGTCCATGACCCCGTGCTTGACCTTCATGTGCCGGCTCAGGTTGCCCTTGAGGTTGAACTTGCTGGAGCAGTAGGGGCACTTGAAGGGCTTGCTGCCCGCGTGCAGGTGCATGTGGCCCAGCAGGTTGTACATGCGGTTGAAGGACTTCCCGCACACCTGGAACACACCACGGGCGCCGTCAGCCCACAGGGGGTCCGCCCTCCAGAACCCAGCCCCCGCCCACCTCCCTGGCCGGGCTGCGGTCCCACCTGCTACGGCCAGCGCCCGTTTCATTCTTTCCTATGGGACCCCTGAGAGGCAGAGAGCTGAGCCTCCTCCACCGGTCACTGTTCCTGGTTCGAAACCCAGGGTTCAGATCTCCTGCTGCACCAAGTCCCTGGCCTGGGCTCTCTCCCAGTGGCTGCACCTTGACCTTCATACCCCCCGCCCCCTCAACTCCCCAACTCTCAGGAAACACAGCTTCAGCAACTTGTAAGATCCGAACCGCACCACCCACTCCCATCTCCCCAAAGCCCGGGCAGTTTCGCCCACCCAGCGCCGACTGTATGCATTGCATACAGACGTGCCCGCCCTTGGCCAGGCCACCGCTGGGTGGGCTTGCGCTGCCGCAGTCCTGCCGACTCCGGGCCGCCCAGGGGACAGGCCCGTCTTGGGGCCTGCGGGCCGGGTACCTTGCATTTGAATGGCTTCACCGGCGAGTGTACAATCATGTGGGTCTTGAGGGTCTGCTTCTGCACGAAGGTCTTGAAGCAGATGTGGCACTGGTAGGGCCGGACGCTGGTGTGGATCAGCATGTGCCGCTTCATGTTCGCCTGCAGCGTGAACTCCCGGCCACACACCTCGCACTTGAACTCCTTCACACCCTGGGGGGGCAGGGGGGGGTGGGGAGAGGTAATGGTCAGGGCCACACGATGGGCACAGCCTCTGAGTGGACCCGAGAGGGTCAGAGCGCCTGTACAGCTTCTGGGGAATGACTTCCTGGGGGTGTTCCAAACAGAAGCCCCTTGTTTAGAATGCCAAGCAGGGCCACTGCCTCCAGGAAGCCTTCCGGTGTTAACTAGGCAGAGACTGGCTGGGCCGTATTTATTTTTTATTAGTCCTCACCTGAGGATTTTTTTAAAACATATTTTTATTGATTTCAGAATATATTTTTATTGATTTCAGAGAGGAAGGGAGAGGGAGGGAGAGAGAGAGAACATCAATGATGAGAGAGAATCATTGATCGGCTGCCTCCTGCACGCCCCACACTGGGGATCGAGCCCGAAACCTGAGCATGTGCCCCGACCAGGCATTGAACCGTGACCTCCTGGTCCATAGGTCGACGCTCAACCACAGCCATGCTGGCTGGCCAGCCCCTAGGACATTTTTCAATTGATTTTTAGAGAAAGTGCAATGCAGGGGGAGAGACAGAGAGGAACATCGATGAGAGAGAGACACATCGATTGGTTGCCTCCTGTATGCGCCCCGATCAGGGCCGGGGATCGAGCCTGCAACCGAGGCATGTGCCCTTGACCGGAATCAAACCCGGGATCCTTCAGTCCACTGGCTGACGCTCTATCCACTGAGCCAAACCAGCTAGGGCTGCCTGGGCCTTATTGTTCCTACCTACACACCTGCTGTCTCCTGCTCTCCAGGCAAATGCTTTAGTCCATTCATGGATTTGTTGATTCATTCAGCAGCCATTTACCAGGCACCTCCTACAAACCAGCATCACACCAGGCACCCGGGGCCTTTGGCCAAGACACAGCCGTAGCCTGGTGGCCGTGGTCTCTTTCCTCAGATCCAGGATGTGTACATGGGTTTTTCTCCTAAGTCAGTGGTCGGCAGACTCATTAGTCAACAGAGCCAAATATCAACAGTACAACGACTGAAATCTCTTTTGAGAGCCAAATTTTTTAAACTGAAACTATACAGGTAGGTACATTGTTATTCACTTCATTAGGGTCCTCCTAAGCTGGCCTTTGCTAAAAACGTCCTCAATCTGATGGAGGTACGTTCGCTGAGTTCGACCCCTTCCAACTCTCCCATCCACAGGCGTCTTGTATACTTGTTTCGTCTGTCTCCTTTCGTTCATCCTCTCTGTATGTCCAAACCATCTCCACATACCTCTCTCCCATCCTCGACACTACATCTTCTTTCACTCCACAGCGTTCCCTAAAATTAACTTAATACGTTTTTTTTTTTAAATTTTTTTTTTAAGTTTTAAGTCAACTTCACACTGTACGTGCGCGCCCGCACATGGTATTCTGTGCAAGAGCCACACTCAAGGGGCCAAAGAGCCGCATGTGGCTCGCGAGCCGCGGTTTGCCGACCACTGTCCTAAGTGCATCCCTCTCAGTGGTCTTTTCAGACCACTTCACAGACCCCTTTGAGAATATGATTACAGGTACGGCCGCCTCAGGAAAAGCGACACTCGGGGTCTGTGTAGAATTTAGACCAGCCGTGGGCAAACTACGGCCCACGGGCGGAATCCGGCCGCGTTTTGAAATGAGTAAAACTAAAAAAAAAAAGGAAAAAAGGGACTGGTACCCCTTTTTATGTAATGAATGTTTTACTTTTGAATTTTATATTAAGTTTCACAAAAAACCCTCCCTCCCATGCTTTTTTTTCCCGGCCCCTCCGGCCCCAGTTTAAAAAACCATTGTGGCCCTCGAGTCAAAAAGTTTGCCCACCCTGGCTAGACCCTTCAAACTCTGCTGACTCCGAGAGAGAGTGTTACAACATATAATTCTTGCTGAATGAACAGCCGCTCAGGCCGCTTCCTGGAGATTCCCATTCGGTGGGAGTTTTAGTCTCAACAGGTGCCCAATGCAACGCCTGTCCCTGATGGGGTTTGGGACAGTCAGCGCCAGAGACAAAGGCTCCAGGGAAACGCTCTGGTTTGGGTTGTCACCTTGCTTTGCCAGGGTCTGGAGGTGGCCCCAGAGCAGAACAGGGTGCTGAGGGCACAGGGGGTCCACTTCGGTGTCTAGGGCAGCGGTTCTCAACCTGTGGGTCGCGACCCCTTTGGCGGTTGAATGACCCTTTCACAGGGGTCGCCTAAGACCATCCTGCCTATCAGATATTGACATGACGATTCATCACAACAGCAACATTACAGTTATGAAGTAGCCACGAAAATAATTTTATGGTTGGGTCCCAACATGAGGAACTGTATTTAAAGGGCCAGAAGGTTGAGAACCACTGGTCTAGGGAAAATGTTAGGACAAAACTCGGGGGCCAGTCTCTTGGCTAGAACCCCAGTGGGACAGACACGTTGGTGTGGTCACAGCTGCGGTCCCAACCGCTGCTCCGCACAAAGTTTCCTACCATAATGTAACGGTTCCTGTGTATTTCTCTTAGCAGGCAGGGCCGTGTCTCACGTCTGATAGGCTCGCCGGAGACTCAGAAGATGTGTATGGCCACCAGGGGGCCCTGCCCTTTGGGAACTCGGTCTGCAAGTGCTGTACACATCCAGGCCGATGAGAGGCACGTCTCCAATCGGATTCACTTTGATTTTTGCTCTCAGCTTTTCTTCGCTGAGATCCAGCCGGCCCTAGATGGTTTATCTCAATGGATAGAGCATCGGCCTGCGGACTGAAGGGTCCCGGGTTCGATTCCCCGTCAAGGACACCTGCCCAGGTTGTGGGCTCGATCCCCAGTGGGGGGGGGGGGGCGTGCAGGAGGCAGCCGATCCATGATTCTCATCATTGATGTTTCTATTATTTATCTCTTAACACTCTGCAGACAGGTGGGACTTTTAGGAGAAGAGAAAGATGGCAACTCTCTCGCCCATGAACTTGCCCCTCTTCACTCCCACCCCCCGCAGACACTCATAACCAGTCATCTGGTTTTTACTTGGGGGCACATTCCCCGTTACGGCTGAGCCTCGATTCAGCTGCAGAATCCTTAACATTATGCTCTTGGCAGCTACACCAGCCGACGGTGGGGGCACCTGCATTGAAACCTACAAGTCATTTTTGCTCTGTTGGACAAGCTTCCCAGGGCTGGGGGGGCGCAGGGGTGGGGAGGCGCGGGGAGGGAGCTGGGCTCCTGGCCTGGCAGGCTGTTGCTCCTCCCTCACTGCCATGTCCACTGTGAGAACTTCAAGGCCACCATTATGAGGAGAGGTAGCTCTATGCACAGCAGCTTCAATGTATGCAGTTGGCTGATTTGGGGTGGAGACCACAGGCCGGCCCTAGATGGTGTGGCTCAGTGGATGGAGCATCGGCCTGCGGACTGAAGGGTCCCGGGTTCGATTCCCCGTCAAGGGCACATGCCTAGGTTGTGGGCTCGATCCCCAGTGGGGGGGCGCGCAGGAGGCAGCCGATCCACGATTCTCATCATTGATGTTTCTATCTCTCCCTCTCCCTTCCTCTCTCTATGAAATCAATAAAAATACATAAATAAAATTTTCTCAAACATAAGTCAGGTTTTACTATTTAAAAGACAATTAAATTCTGCCCTGGCTGATGTGGTTCAATGGTTAGAGTGTCATCCCATGCACCGAAGGGTCTCGTGTTGGATTCCTGGTCAGGGCTCCGAGGCAGGCTGCGGGTTCAATCCCGCCTTTGGGGCACATGCAGGAGGCAACCAACAGATGTTTCTCTCTCCCTTCCTCTCTCTCTCGAATCAATGAAAAACAACCCCAAACTATATTCTTGGGTGAGGATTTTTTTTTTTAAAGGCAACTAATTTAAATTATGTATACTAGTATTTTCCTGAATATGTAACTATAAAACTAAGGTTCCAGCTGGTGTGTGGGTCAGTGGACAGAGCGAAGGCCTGTGGACTGAAGGGTCCCGGGTTTGACCCCATCAAGGGCACATACCCAGGTTGTGGGCTCGATCCCCAGTAGGGGGTGTGCAGGAGGCAGCCAGCTCTCTCTTCTCTCTCATCATTGATGTTTCTATCTCTCCCTCCCTCTCCCTTCCTCTCTGAAATCAATAGAAATATATATTAAAAATAAGTAAGAACTGTTCATCTGTGAACCAACTCTATTACGGCCTCAGGGAAGCCCTGGGTGAGGGCCAGGAGAGGGCGGAGCCAGGGGGGGAGGCGAAGGGAGACGCGGGGAGGCGGGGCGGCGTACCTTGTGGGTGAGCGAGTGCTGCTTGAGGTGGTGGACCTGGCTGAACTCCATGCCGCACTCGGTGCACACGAAGGGCCGCACGTTCTGGTGCTTGAGCATGTGGTTCTGCAGCTGGCTGCGGTAGTGGAAGGACTTGTCGCACTCGAGGCACTGGTAGAGGGTGGGGCCCTGGTGGGAGGCCAGGTGGCGCTTGAGCTGCGTCAGCGTGGAGAAGTCCAGGCCGCACTCGACGCACACGTGGCAGCGGCCGCTCTCGTGCTTGACCTCGTGGGCCTTGAGCTCGCTGGGGTAGGCGAAGCCGCGGCCGCAGAAGTGGCAGCTGTAGGGCTTGACCTCGGAGTGCAGCAGCATGTGGCGCTTGAGGTGGCTGGTCTGCGTGAAGGCCTTGTGGCACACCTGGCACTTGTGCGGCCGCGTGCCCTGGTGCGTGAGCAGGTGCGTCTGCAGGTGGCTGGGCTGCTTGAAGAGCTTGCTGCAGTGCGGGCAGGAGTGCGGCTTGATGCCGTTGTGGCCCAGGATGTGCGTCACCAGGTTGTACTTGGACGTGTAGGACTTCTCGCACATGCGGCACTGCCAGCGCTTCTGCCGGTCGCCCGCCTCCACCAGGTACGAGTCGTCGATCTGCACGTTGATGTCCAGCCGGTCCAGCTGCGCCTTCTTGTGCCGCTCGGCCGTGGAGCCGGCCGCGTCCGCCTGGTCCAGCTCGCCCGCCTCCTGCCACGCGAAGCCCTCCGGCTTCAGGGGCTCCGGGGACCACACGGCGGGCGCCTCGGGGTCGCTCAGCGGGGCCAGGTGCGGCGGCGGCGGCGGCTCGAAGCCGCACTCGGCGGGCAAGGCCTCGGGCCCCGGCAGCGCCAGGCTGGGCTCCGGGAAGACCTCCCGGGCGGATCGG